GAGAGAGAGAGAGAGAGAGAGAGGGGTGATTTGGGGGGGGGGGGGGGCAGAGAAGAATTTCAGTATACGAATTGTCTTCATGGAGCTTCTTTTATGGCTAATTTTTCCTGTTTGAAGTGCAGATTCTGTCGCAGTGCTTGCTCTCTAGTCACTAGCATAATAGGTCTTTCATTTATCATTTTCCTCCATGTTTTCCTATCCTCTGTTATTTCTTCACATATGCTGACATCCACTCCAAGCTTAGATAAACTGTTTTTGCAGATGTCTTTGTACTTCAGTTTTGACCTTCCCCTTCACGTCCCTTTCCCTGGGAAAGTTGTCCATAGAGAAATTGCTTCGGAATCCGGTTGCCGTTCATTCTCTTGACATGGCCCAGCCATCTCAATCTTCTTAAACACAGGATTATTTGTAGGGTTCATTCATTATGAGCGACAACAGCAGCATCACCGGCAAAGAAAAGGTCTCGTATTTTTGTTTGGTTTGTTGATTTTGGTCTTGGCTCGAAGTCGAGCAAGATTGAAAAGCGACACATCAGTTCTCCAGTGGAAGAAACTGAAATGCTCTAAAAACATGGTTTAACTTGGTTGAAAGACTCTAGAAGTAATATGATTTTTTTTAAAGCTCAACTAAACCTCATATAATGCATCCCCACCTAATGTATGGCCTAATTAAATAACACATTTTACATAGAAAGTCATCAAGATGAGGTATGCCATAGCAGCATCCAGTGTCAACAGGAATGAATTATCCTCTTGTCCAAGCACCATTATGAGGCTTTAAAATGCTCTACCCTATGAAGCTAAAGCTCTGGTTAGCTAAAAATAAACTACATAAACCAAAACACAATACACTGCATATCAAATTAAACTTAACCGTGGGTTTTAATTTGCGCACTGGTGACGTACACAATTCTAGGTTGTCATAGAACTTTGGGTTATCAGATGGCACAACAGACTTCATTTCTTGCATGTGTTATTAAAGTTATCTATGGACGAATTAAACTTTCTACTCTGGTACAGAGGCAGTCCCTTCATGTCTTTATGGAGAATGTCTGTGGACTCGCCGCGCTTCAAAGGCAGATGTGACCAGTCATCATCAAATTTCAGTTTGTATTTAATTTGACCATCTGGTGTGTAAACTCTGGTTGGTTAGTTTGATGAAATCAGAAAAGATACAATGAGTCAAATACTTGACTACATATGGCTTCACTTTCCTACTTTCTTCCATTAGCCTGACATAATCAGCTGGGTAGTAGATGTGCTGTGAGCACTGTCCAACTCCATCTGTGTATAGCCCTTCTCTAGGAATTTTAATGTTACAGTTTTACATTGACAGAGTTGAAATGTAACAGTGCAGAACTCATTGTGACTTTGCAGTTCTGATACAGCCACATCCATCTGAATATAATGATCTGGAGTCAAATCAGATGACAAAAAATCAGCCACACAAGGAGCAAATTTATTTGCAGTCAGAGCACTTTCGCATTCATTTGAGACATAACATACACAGTCCTTGCTCTCTAGTTCCTATACTGTAAATTGTGTACATTAAATTTCGTCTTGTAGTACACAGCAGAAGCATTAGTGCGTGGATATAGCAGAACTGATTGCTGGTCCATTTTGATGTATTTGATTTTGGGGCTAACCATGCATGTCTTTTTTGTATGCGCCCTCTTCCACATTCCCCTCCTCAAAGCCCACACAAATATCACACCTATCTTTTCGAGGATGGAACAATGACAGGTTCATAGCATTGATCTCCTCTTTAAACTTGAAGATAGAAAGTACCCCCCCCCCCCCACGCATACTTTTCTTTATACAAACGGTGGTACACTGCCTGTCCTGTAAGCTCTGGAAAACAGGTTCCAAGTACAACTTACTGGAGTCCTTCGGCAATAGTGAGACGGCAACTTGGGCAGATCACGAAGAAACTGTTTAAGTACTTTTGATGCTGTAGTCTCCTCCCTAACCCTTTTTCTCTGAACTGGAACCTCACCCTCTGCTACACCCAACCCATATGTGAGAACAATGTGAACACACTTAGTAACAAAGTATAGGACTTGAGAAGAAAGCCGTGCACTCTTTTACTCTGGCCCCATTCACTCGCAGATGGTACTTCATGGACCACGATCTTCTGCTTTCTCTCTCCTTTTTCTCCACAGGCTCGACACAGTCAACCAACCCTTTAACAAAAGCAGCCTTTTCTGATTTTACATGTATTTAAAACCAAATGCCTCCTTCAGAGCAAACCGTTATCGCCGTGATCCACAATGGCGGGCTACCTAAACGAATTAGACGGTTAGAATTCTTCAGTCACGGAAGCCCGTCGGAATATACGGTTAGAATTTCTCTTTAAAACAAGACTTTTGTTTGTCAAAATTGTTCTACATTTTAATAGGACGTAGCCATTCGTCATGTCGATCTATTTTAAGGAGACGGTTAGAATTCTTCAGTCACGGAAGTCAGTCGTAATATACGGTTAGAATTTCTCTTTAAAACAAGACTTTTGTTTGACAAAATTATTCTAGACTTTAATAGGACGTAGCCATTCGTTATGTCAATCTATTTTAAGTAAACAAGCAATTCGAGAAAAATTCGGAGTTAGACGGTTATAATTCTTTACCGACGATATATTGAGATTGAAGGAGGTTGAGGTCTGCAGGTTTCAATGGGGAAATAAGCAAGAAAATAGCCGTCACAAGTTAGGTGACTTCTAAAGCTTTTGAGTCCTTGGAAACTCTAAATTCACATTTTTGTGTACCTTTAATCAACGTTTTACAGTAAAACCCACACACAAATGTGTTTTAACATTGTCACAAAAAGTGTAGCACAAAAAGAAATACTACCACCAAAAAAAAACCCACTTGGGCTGAAAATGCCGGTTTCTTCAATGTCATTATTTTGACGTTCGCCTCATTTCACCACGCTTTCTCACAAATGTCCTCTTCAGATGCGCCCTCTCATCATCAAACTTTGACAGACAGACTATCACTGTTGTAATCATTCTTTGTTATTATTACAATTAGGATTATACTATAGTGCGGTCAAAAATTCGTGGTGCAACTTATTGACAAATATTTCCTAAACTATCAAACACACCACAGGCTCTTCATCATTTGAACCATGACTTGTATCAATTTGTCTTTACGCATCAATAATTCTATAAATTAATGCATGTCAGCTGTATCCAAGAAAATTCTTTAAACAAGTAGACCTACTAATAAAAAATCAAAGTGGGTGATCTCTTTAGATTTTAAAAGGTTTACAGCTTGGGAAATATCGCGTTTAAAAGCATGTCCTTCATTTTGTTACTATATTTGTGACATTGTGCTTATGGAACGCAAGTTTTTAGAACCTTTAGTGATTGAAAAGTGTTCACTATAAAATTAGTCTAATTTCTTGTAACAAATTCTGCTAATAAAGAATGTCATTGGTGAGCTATGACGTGGCCCGCGTATGCAAAAATGTGTGTGAGACGCGGAAAGTGCTGTGAACAATTCTATTTTCTGTGTGACGGCGATTTACAGTATTTTATATAAATTTATGAAGAAAAGTTGTTTTTATTTTAAATATGGCCTCAATTGTAGTGGAAAAATATTGTTAAGTTTAGAAAAACTGGCTGTGCAAAGTGTGGATGACACTGATTCACTGGTTAA